TGTTCTTATGTTCTTATGTTCTTATGTTCTAAGCAGCTTTGGCCCTGGCTAATACTTGGATGGGAGACCAACTAGGACCAACAGGGGAGCCCATCCTGTGGTCAGTGTGGATCCCAAGCCCCAGTGCAGTGACGGGGACACTGTACTGTAAAAATGGTAAAACCGAGATCCAGACTCTCTGAGGTCATAAAAGATCCCTGGGCATCTTTCAGAAGGCTAGGGGTGGTACCCTGAGATCCAGGCTAAAACTGCCCACTGTGGCCCTAACAAATCCAGCCTCCTAAATCATCCCCTATATCTAACTGGTGAATTCAGTCCTGCCCCTTCACCACCTTAGCTACTGCGTGGTGAGCGTACTGGCGCAGAATATCTGCCATCGCATCATCCAGGTGGTGGCGGCTGAAGAGGCTCCCCATTGGTTCTGTAAAGTGCTTTGGGAGTCTTGAAAAGTGCTACATAAATGTAACATTCATTCATTCTGATCCTGAAACATATGATTTGAGTTCACAAAAGCAAACAGAACATAAATACACCGTGCTTATGGGAGCTCACATTTAACAATAGTCAAATTTGAACCTGCTTATGGCAGCAGGCTCCAAATGAACTGAGATGTTGCAGAAACGACACATGACCGAAGCCACGGCCCTCTGCCCTCTGAAGACCAGGCGGTACGTACCCAGGGGCGGCCCCGAAGGCACCATGTGCTTCACCTCCACCTTGACGGCGGGGGGAGAGTCCTTCAGCTTGGCGGCAGCGTGGTCGATGAAGAGTTGCACGGTAACCTCATCCAGGTGCGGGAAGGTCTTCAGCGGGACGCGGAGGTGGGAGCCCTCGGCGGGTGGCTGCATAGCCACAGCTGGGTATGGGTTCTCCTGGAGGCCACGGAAACACCAGTCACTTCTCATGTAGAACATCAAGCCGATTTCACTGCTAGCCAGCACTGATCTCGGTGGCCATCACATTTCCAAACACAGTTCTTTTCTTCATCCACAAAGAGCAGCTGAGTGACCATCTTCAGCATGTCTGAAAGTACGCCCAGTCTGTTCTAGAAGGGGTACTCTTTCTTTCTAAGCCATTACTACGCTTACACTGGGCGTTGTATGGCTCTGCAGATTAGTGCCCTTGATTGGAGGGTTGCCGGTTCAAACCTTGGGGGCTCACAGACTGATGGCCGTGCCAAGCTCCTTGGCAAGGCTCTTAACCCCCACTTCAGAAAAACCAAAATCAAGCCTGGGAAGCCATCAAACGATGACCAATTTAGGAACAAGCAGGAGGTGATACCCAAGAGGGGCACGAGGACTGTGTGTAAAGCCCCTAAACCGAAAAAGAAATGCATGCTGGGAATGGGAAGTAAACAGACAATTAATTACTGAAAAGGTCATTCTAAACATCTGAAGAGGGACAGTCCAGCACTGAATAACAGAGCAAGGATGTCCCAATGTATTTTGGCTTGCCAGCTGTCAAGAGAGCAATAAACACACTTTATAGCCATTTCTCACACTGCCTTAGGGATAATCGTCCAACGCAAAGAGTGAAATGGAGCCCCAGACGTACTTGACTATGTGAATGATGGGTAACAATGATAAAACAGCTGACTTCACGTGTTATTATCAGGCAGAACTATGCATGTGACTGTTGAAAGAGCAGTTGTGAGGCGCGGAGGTCCAGCCAGGTCGGCACGTACGTTTTTGTAGAGCTGCTCGCCCAGTTCCTTGATGTGGCTCGTGACTTTGTGCAGATTAGCTTCCTCTAGACAGATGCGTTCCACTCCACTGGCGACAAGCTGGCGGGGGGCAACAAGCTAGGGTCAGGATGCTTTAACTCATGCTTTAGCAAAGCAAGCTCATCTTCAAATAGCCGCATGCTTCCCGGAAGAATTTTTACGGTGCGTTCATCAACATATGGTTCCAAGCATAAAGAGACATCCTGGAAACCTCCGTCTGCGCCCACACCTCATCGAACAGGTCCGTGGTCCGGTATGGAGGCCCTCTCTCCGACACGAAGCCCGCGAAGGCCATGCCGTCCAGCACCTTCATGAGGAAGTCGTCTTCTGTCAGCGACCGCTGGCCTAGGAAAGCAGCCTGAAAGAAAGATGGAGGTAATCAGGGCCGTGCTTCCCGTCTGAGGGAAAGGCAGCCATGACAGACACTCAACCTTCGTCAAATCTGTTTGTCACTCCAGGGAAGGGGGAAAAAGCTAATTAAAAATGCGGGAACTAAATACTCACTGGGCAAGGTATATGTCAATGTCACCTAAACGGTCATGGCTTAGCGGATAGACTGCAAATAGGGGCTCTGGGGTGCCGATGGTCTTCCCATCACAAGGACGTCTCAGAACATATGAAACTGACGCTGGCACGAGCCCATGTGCTAGCTTAGCTGCCGGCAGCTAAGACGGTACCTTGTGGAAGCGGATGACGGGCTCGGGGTTGATGCGGATGATATGCAGACACCAGCGGTAGCCCTGGAGCAGCTGAGCGAACAGCCACAGGAACACTGCGCGGATCTCCTTGTCCTGTGATGTGGGTCCGCGAGAAAAGAAAAGGTCATGGAGGGAGCAGCTGAAGTACCATGCGTGCCGGAGCCAACTTTACAGCTCCCTCCAGGCCCTCAATCAATTTACTACATGGCAGCTGCAAGATAAAGACCAGGAAGTAGTTTGATTGGGAGGAGAAGTATTACACACAGTCAGTTCAAAACTGAACCTTCAGATGTCAAAATGCAGCAGATATTTATATCTCTGTATTTTTTATACAAAGCAGAACAGTGATGAAAACCAGGAGGGAAACATGCAGTCTTGGTTTTGCTGGGGGGGGGGGGGGGGGGGGGGGGGGGGGGGGGGGGGGGTGATGGAGAAGACTACCTGGATCTTCAGTGAGGAGGGCTGCAAGGAGGAGGGTGGGAAAGCATGATCAGCCACATCCAGCTCGGGGTCCAGCACCTAAAACGCAGCAGAAACACCTGAAAGTCATGCGGACACCTGGCTTCACAAGAAACGCTGGCCGACCACGTGAGCGGAATGCAGATCCAGACGGGACTGTTTTCTGCTGAGAAGGTGGTTTGGCGTATACAGCACCGAAACACAGCAAGGCCACCCAAGCCGATAGGAAATGGATTCATGACCAAACTCATGTCTTATGAAAGAGCTATTATTGGTATTGCATCTACAACTAAAGTCCTGGAACCTGACAATTTCCCAAAGACTTGCGTTTGGTGAACCTCATGTCTGGGTCTGTAGCCCAGGATAAAGCAAGAATAGAGGAGAAGCTGGGGCTCGGAGAGCTCGTGAGACGGGACTCAGGCCTTTTCGGGGCAGGTGATGTGGCTGGCAGAATGCACTGGGTTTCCGGTGGGGTCCTTCTCGGACTGACCCAGGATACTGGCTGTGAAGTGGAACCGTTCTCCTTGCCACTGAACGGGCTGACCCATGGATGGGGGATGCTATGAGAGCCAAGAGCTCAGGTATGGCACAGACATGCCGCTTGAGAGCACAGGACAGACGGAATAGCCACGAGAATCGGAAGCGGCTCCTGAATCCGTCACTAGGGGTCCACACTTAGAAGTCAATTCACTCACACCCTCACGATACTGCTGTGAAGTGACCTACCAACAGTATCGCAGCACTAAAGGGAGGAGCAGCTCTTCTTAACGAGAGACATCAAAATGGCAGCCTATTTGAGCGCTAACCATCATCCAAATTCAGGTAAATATAGGTACTAAAGTGCTTTGAGCATAAATGTAATCGTGATACGGAATTGTGCCAAGCAGTGGTCATTTTAAAACGAATTTGAGGAAGCACTGTAGTTAGAGCATTGTAGTTAGAGTATGGAATAGTCTTCCTGCTAGTATAGTACAAGCTAAAACCCTGGATTCCTTTAAATCAGAGCTAGTTAAGATTTTAACAACTCTGAGCTATTAGTTAAGTTCTCCCCAAACGAGCTTAATGGGCCGAATGGCCTCCTCTCATTTGTAAATTTCTTATGTTCTTAAAGCGCCAACAATGAGGTGCTTGTAGCCAGCAGAGAGCCAATGAGTGGCCCGCATAACACTTTAGAAATTGTACATATATTTTTTTTCCTTTTTTAATTTCACATAAACACCGCGTTCTGCAGTGGACATGAAAGGATAATTAATTTAACTTCTGTTTCCAATCCAGGCACATGACCCTCGATTACACTGATAGGACCCTTGCTCTAACTGTTACTGCACGCTATATAGACAGGCTGCAGAAGTATTCATTATTGTTCTCCAAATATTACAAAAAATAAAAAATAAAAATAGCGAGGATGACTTTCTCTTTAGGTGTTAAAGAGTTTCCCAATCACTTTAAATAATAAACACAGAACCTCTCTCTGCAGTTGCAAACCAGGCAGTGATGGTGATCGGATACCGCTGAGAATATACCAGTTTCCTCACATATAACTCCCATGGAAAAAATAATAAAGAAACGGAAACTCGTCCTGTACCATATGATAGGGTATAATGGTTGTGGCACGGCAGTTACCATGGAGAGGGCCAACTGCGTCTGCTGCAGCAGGGGCTCAGGAAGCAGGGAGATGTGGACACACTCTGGGATCGTCACCGTGCCCCCATCGAGGTCAGCGATGATCACGTCGAGCTAAGGGATACAACACTTTCACTAGGCAGCCAAACTTCACCTCCATCACTGTTAATTTCAGCATTTCCCAGAAAACTCCAAAACCCCATCAGCTGACAGCCAGACACTGAGACACACTGCAGGTGAGCTGGCCAAATGACAGGGACCCCCATAGACACCACAAGGGTTTAAGTTAATAAAAACAGGGGCAATAGAAAAGAAAATAAATCTGTATATCGGCCATTGACTAGAATGGGACGAGTTTGTGGTTGGAATATAAAATAACATTTGACAAGCATTGCATGCATCAAGGTCCTGAAGGAATGAACTGGCTCCAGCTTGAAAACACTAGCTTTGATTAAAAAAAACATGTCATTTCATCTGGCAAAATTATTCCATCAATAAAAGTTTCACATTCTTTAAGAAGCATTAAAGTTACAAAGCTATGATTTTGACACGAAATAGCAAAGGTGGATTGTACTGGGGCATCAGCTGAACGTGTGCAGAAATCAGAGCCAAAAGCAAACCTGAGCAATATTCACTTGTCACCCAAATTTAAATATTAAAAGGCTTGTTGTGCACTGTTCAATTTATCGATGTGATGCACCAATGGATTTTACAGTATGAGCATTGCGGGGTGTGGAAGTGAAACACTGACCAGCTCCTGTGTCTCAGAGCGGAAGGTGGAGTTGACCCCGATAATAAAGGGTGTGGGAGTGCTGAGAACCTCCAACAGCTTCCCTGGCAGTATGGGGACGTACGTGAAGCTAGGGGAAGAGAGGAAGGAGTGCACACACTGAGTGCCATGCGCCAGCCTCGAACTTCTCAAAGGCTCTCAAGCTTACATTAGAATTTAATTTAAATCAACGGCAGTTGAAGGGACTTCAAAACAACAATAAGAGCCAATCAGCACAGAGAATGGTAACACGTAGCAGTCATCCTTAGCAATCGGGAGCCTCCAATTGTTGTATTTTGTAAACATGTATCTACATTAGCCTTCTTTTTATTCCATAAAACATGCAACATTCCAAAGGGAGCCTTAAACAAACTGAAAACCCAAGACTCTCATTCCGAAACGATACTAGAGAAGAGGACTGAGCTGCAGATCTGACGGCTACCCAGGGCCCCCACACACCTGTATTTCAGCGGGAACATGATAGCCAGAAGAGCTCGGCAGGCATCTGTGAGCCGATTGTAGCTACTTGACAGGAAAAGGATCTTGTGTTCCGTAAGGGTGGCACAGAACAGGCAGAGGACGTTGACGATACCTGGAAGAAGAGGGGCTTAAAGATGAACCCACCATCACCAATCGCACAGATCTGCAAACCAATCTAGTATGATGCATCTATCTCCACTCATTTATGGATCTACAATGGCTTTTGATGGCAAGTACAGCTGGTTTTCAGAGTGTTTCCAAAACCTTATGAAAAACAACCATCCAAACCATCAACATGTCATATCACCAAACACCTTTCCTGAAGTTGAATGGTGAGATGCTGATGGTTCTTACCCAGCTGTCTGAAGAGCAGGGCGACACTGCAGCCGCTGACAGGCAGAGAGTCAGTGATGGGAGTCTGGATCACCTGACGATCACCAGCGCCTAATGTGATGGTTCTCTACACAAGGAGAAGCAAGCAAGTCATCATGCTGAAGAAGAACTGATCACACTGCTATGACACAGGCCACTAACCACCTCATGAGTGCAATGGAGCCTGCCACCCGCAGACTTTCCTTCAGAGGGTTAGTTGGTTATTAAAAGCCATACCTTTTAAGCCCAGCACAGGAAGAGCACAGTAGAGGGGAATCACTGGTGATATTTAGTACTTAGCGATTAATAATCCCAGCCAGTGACCATTCTTCAGAATCAACTGGGTGAAGAATTAGCTTTTTGGTATTATTTACCATTGATTCCTTCAGTTCACAGCATGACCATTTTCCACTTGTGCTCCAAGAGATCAAATACTTTTCAATTCAGATGATTTTTTTTTGGTCACACCGTCTCTTTGGAAAAGCAGAACACAGTCTGCTATTGTGACTATGGTGCATGTTTGTGGAAAGAGCATTTAGTGAGCAGGAATGCGCCTCAGTCGCCCAGCCATGGCAGGACGACGAGCCAAATAGCACCCAAGCCGTGGAGAGACATGCAGCGTGGCTGTATGGTGTAATAGAAGCTCAACCCTCAGGCAAATCAAATAAATGAAAGAAGGTTGCATGACAGTATGGAAGAACAGGGGGTGAGCAACCTCAGTCCCAGTGGGCCTCAATAGCTTCACTATTACCCGCCAACCGTAATGGTCTTCAAGTCACATGCCCGGTGTTTCAGGTATCATTAAATTACCAAGTGACTGACACTGTAAAACCCTTAAGGACTGCAGTCACCCAACCCCTGCTTTATAAGAACCTGGAGCAGAAAAGAAAAAAAAAACAAAATATATATATATATATTAGATTTTTTTAAATCACAAGATGAATACTAAGCGGCGGGACAAGATGGTGCATTGAAGGCCTTGATTAGACCAATACTCTGACCAGGCTGAAATAACGCACCCCAGCATCAGCTCCATGTGGAGTCCATACCGGTTCCTCTGCCTGTTACTTTCATTTCCTTTCGTGAAAGTGATCTTTCAGTACTGTCAACTGAGATCCACTTTCAGTTCCCGAAGAGGACCACTGCATGTTTTTGGTCCGGTGAATAAACGAGGCCAAAGATTGGTCTAATCATACCCAAAATGATTGGACGGAGTTCCTGTCAAGGGCTCATCATTTGATATGAGGAGAAAACTCCTGGGGAAGGGGGAGAGCAGAGGCACACCACCCAAAGCCAGTGGTGAAGACTAGAAATGGGCAAATAAAAAGGCAGGCCATACCACGGTCTTTTCCTCCTCGTCTGGGCCAGGCTAGTCAAGCAATGGAGACACCACAGGAGATGGAAAAGCATTAGAGGCAGGCCCAAACATACCACTGCAATCAACTACAAAACAGGTTCTCATCTTCACAAGGGCAAACCAGAGGAACAGTACTAGCGTTGCCTCATAGGGATCGATGCTGTGGACCTCGACGACCTGCCTGAAACACTGCTGCTTAATGGAGGCTTTCAGAGCCTTCCAGCTGAGTGCATAAATGGAGAGTCATTACACAATCATCAAGCTCCTGCTTACTGGCTCTGTGTTAGCCTTGCCACTAATTTCCAGTAAAATGATTTATAATTATATGAAGTCTGACAACCACACTTAGCAATTCTACGCTCGTAGGAAACAAACATGCACAACATACAACGAGACTTATCCTTCTCGTTTACTATATACACATATTTTAATCAATGCGAATAAAGTATTTGAAAGATCCTCTATACAATTATGAAGTATTACTACGCATATCACGACACAGATGCTAAACACTTGCGCATGGGGAGTAGGGAGAAATTGAAGAAAATGTCGATTAAAACAGACTCTCTACCCTGTTCCCCTCAATGCCAGGTTCGGCTCCCTGAATTCAGGTCTAAATGAACCTCTTGGCCAACATCTGTCTGAAATTAAATCAGACAAATTATCTCCAGACAGACTATTAATGCAATAGTTCACACTTAAGGTATAAGGCTGCATTTTTCTATACTATTATCGAGGCAAAAAAAAAGTACATGCATTAAGGGAGACAGTGACTGTAAACAAACACGTACTGGCTGGGTGTGGAAACGGGAGGGTTTCACTACCATGGAAGCTGCCGGTAATTTTTCACTGGCCTCAACACGAACGAACATGAGAACAGGTTTTACAGGACGGCCTGCATTCCTACAGAGACCGCTCTCCTGACACGAACCTTCCCCGCGTGTGTGCGTAAGTGACACATTTCCATGGAGACCCACCACACTCGCCGTGTTTATCTGAATGATTATTTAAGACACTTGAGACCTAAATGCTGAGGAAGTATTGAAAACAGAAAACATTCTGTATGTTAACAAAGGGTTAGGTTAAATCAAAATTCGAGCATGAGAAGCGATCTGTACCCCAAAGCCAGCTAATGAAGTCGCCCTAGACATGAACGACAGTCATAGGACCACAGTTCACACTAAAGGTGGATGTAACCGTTAAGGAGACTGTCACCCACCCCCACCCCCACCCCCACTCAGCAAAGCAACCATCTGCTCTGGACCCCAAGGCCTATAGCCCCCCTGTGAGCCCGTAGGGGCCATCTGCCCACATGGGCTCCCGGAGATGGGCAGCCGACACTAATTCCGTCATCTGATGTGGACAGGATCCTGTAGCATACAGCCCTGTGTCAATGCAGCTTAATCAGGTTGAAAAAGAAACTACATCCTATACAAACAGATGACCAAAAAAAAAAAAAAAAACCCAAAAGCATATAAAATCAAAAATAGCCATTTTGTTTAACGCACTGCAGATGACTCAAGCTCCAGGGAAGCCACAGATCTGACAAAGCCAAGCAGAGACAATTGAGTGCTATGAGTTGCCATGACTTAAGATGCTTTAAATGAAATCAAACAAATGAAAGAAAGTCTAGCTCTAGATAAAAATCATAATGGATTGATTGGGAGAAGCTGCTGAAAAATAGTTACCTGAAAGCAGCCCAGAAGCCAGTCACAGGCAAGATTCTGAGGGACCAAGTTAAAACTACAAAGTGGGGGGTCGCACATCTGCAACACACAGGAGCAGATATGCATATGCATATAAACTGAAGACTCGTCATCCTAGCACCAAGTTGCCCTCTACAGCCCCCTTTAGCTAAGACCCCATAATGAATGAAAGCCAATGAGCATGGAGTCCCGGAGCGTAGATCTAACCCACCACAGTCTGGTACTCTGGGAGGTTTCAACCACAGATCCTTGAAGGGCATCAACAGCTGGCAACACATATATCTGGCAAATAGTACCGAGTGCAATGGGGAAAGGCTTGACCAAAAACAGTGCTTTGCAAAAAAAAAAAAAAAAAAACCCAGTTAAGTACAGATGCATGAGAGGGATACCCTCCTAAGATATATGAAGAAATGGGTTGAAACCCAGGGTGTAAAATCTACCCTGATGTGTTTGCAAAAGGGAATGTCAGGCAAGGAACAGAAAGCAGAAGGTGAGAGGTTCACTTACGAGCAGCTTAGCGACAATGAAAAGTAATCAACCGGGCATGAATTCTTAATCGACATGAATGTTTCTTTTTCTGGTAAACACATACACTATATGAACAAAAGTATTGGGACACACCTCTTATTCACTGAATTCAGGTGTTTCATTCAGACCCATTGCCACAAGTGTATAAAATCAAAAACGTAGCCATGCAGCCAGGTTTACAAACATTTGCGAAAGAATGGGTCATTCTGAAGAGCTCAATGAATGCAAGCGTGGTACTGTCACAGGATGCCACCTTTGCAATAAGTCAGTGCCTGAAATTTCTTCCCTGCTAGATATTCCATGGCCAACTTTATTATTGGTATTATCACAAAACAGAAGCGTTGAAGTGAAGTGGCAGACCACGTAAAGCAGGGGTCTCCAACTCCGGTCCTGGAGAGCTACTATCCAGTAGGTTTTCTATCCTACTTGGCTTCTGATGAGCCACACCTGGCCCTGGTATTTACCTGAGAACAGGTGTGGCTCATCAGAAGCCGGGTATAATAGAAAACCTACTGGACGGTAGCTCTCCAGGACCTGACGTAAAGTAACAGAGAGGGTTCGCAAAATGCTGAGGCGCATAGTAAATAAATGCTCTGCTGACTAAACTGCAAGTTCCAAACTTGCTATGGCATTAATCCCAGCACAAAAACTGTGCGGCAGAAGCTTCATGGAATGGGCTTCCAAGGTCGAGCCTCACATCACCAAACACAATGCCAAGCGTCAGATGGAGTGGTGTAAATTACACCGCCACTGGATTCTGGAGCAGCGGAAACGTGTTCTGAGGAGTGACAAATCACACTTCTTTGTCTGGATGTCTGATGGACGAGTCTGGGTTTGGCAGATGCCAGAAGAACGTTCCCTGCCTGCCTGCATTGTCCCAACTGTAAAGTTTGGTGGGGGTACGGGGTTGTTTTTCAGGGGTTGGGCTTGGCCCCTTAGTTCCAGTGAAGGGAACTTCAGCATACCAAGATATTTTGAACAATTCAATGCTTCCCAGTTTGTGGGAACAGTTTTGGGAAGGCCCTTTTCTGTTCCCGAATGACTGAGCTCCAGTGCATAAAGCAAGGTCCATTAAGAGATTGTTAACAGAGCTTGGTGTGGAAGAACTTGACTGGCCCACATAGAGCCCTGACCCCACTGAACATCACTGGGATGAACTAGAATGGAGATTGTGAGCCAGGCCTTCACTTCCAACATCAGTACCCAACCTCACAAATGGTCTACTTGATGAATGGGCAAAAATTCCCACAGACACGCACCAAAATCTTGCAGAAAGCCTTCCCAGAAGAGTGGCAGCTGATGTAGCTGCAAGGAGGGGGGAGAGCAACTCCATATTAATGCCCATGGATTTGAATGGGATGTCATAAAAGTTCCTGTAGGTGTAATGGCCAAGTGTCCCAATACTTTTGTCCATACAGGCAATATAGTCTGTCAGGGTCAGAGAGACTGAACAATGACAGTTTTAAAAGAAAACATAAAATTATTGTCTGAGTGAAACAAAAACTGTTCAGCTTCACACACAGGTTAGGTTTCTTAATTTTACTTTCAAAAGGATAAATTGCTGTTGTACTACTAAGTTTCTAAATGACATTTCCAGTAAATGGTATGAGCAAATGGAATCCCCCCCTCCATCAATGATCTCTGGTAAAACCCAGGGAAACGAGTTCAAGTGTGATGGTGTTACAGAATGCGTTTAACCCCGTGAACTGAGCCTGGCACGAGTCCCATCATAAACACCATTAGACATGTCTGCAGCATTCAAGCATGGGTGAGATGGGGGGGGGGGCATGAGGGAGGACCCTGGATGAAATGAGTGAACATGGCTGCACGCCTGCAAGCGGAAATTAAACCCGACAAAGAGCAAGAAAAGGTGCCTGGTGAAGGCCATGCGGCAACGCTCTCACCTGGGAGCCCCCTGCTACGGGGATGATGCAGGTGAGGAGGTTTCCAATCAGGGTCTCCAGAGGGAAGCTGAGACCATCCACATGCACGGTATAGATCAGGCCCAGGCAGTTCTGTGGAGGGAGGCAAACCCGGCATGGATGACTTTAAACTATCATACCCAAAACACCATGGAGCTTTTCTGTGGATATCAAGCTAGTCAAGGACCCATCAGGTTTAATGAGGTTAGAGTGAAGACCACTTCACAAGGGAGGGGGGGAGCACTGAGGGCGATGGGGAGACACGCCCAACCAGTGGCCGGTGCGAGAATAGCGTCTGTACCCTGAAAGCCTCGGTGTGGTCCAGTCGAGACACTAGCACCAAGCTCTTGGGTGCAAAGAGCTGAGTGGACTGGATGAGTCCAGGGTCCACGTCCTCATCCTCATCAGCCTCACTAGACAGGCTCTTCTGTGGTTGGGGTGGGGTGGACAAGGAGAGATGAAAGGGGTACTTTAATGACACACCTGGGCCTAGGTATATAACTGGACCACTCAAAGTAAAGGCCCAGTGAACCTACCTGCGGGTCATCGACCTCCTCCCAAAAGGTGAAACAGGCACAGTAATGGCGTTCGGAGTTAATGTCGGTCAGAGCCGCTACAAAAAACGACGGCGGAAGCCTTTTAGGGACCAACTGCCAACCACTGGGCTGGCAAAACTGAAAGAATGAGAGAGAGTGCTCTGGGTTATTTCTCCAAATAGCAGTTCATCTGACACTAGGACCTTTCCTAAAGGTTACATTACTAGACACACCAATTGTTGCTGAAAAGACTAAGAGTTACACTAATGCACTAACAAGGAGTTTATTTCAAGGAAGTGAAAGAGATTATCTAATCTGTAAAGCTCCAGGACTACAGGAAAGGGGATTATAGGATAGCATGTTGAGCAAAATATACAGCCGTGCAAACAAGTCTAAGGATACCATACCAAAAACTAACACTCTGCTCTTAAATTCCTGTTGGTAACAGCTTACAGACAAGTGCATTATTGTATGAAATCTTACATTCACAAACCAACAGCATTTCAATGGGTTACACAACTCTATTGTATTCGTCTGATGAGTAGAGTTATAAACTGGACTTGCTAAAAATATCCAATGAATCTTTATTCAGAATCATGGCCTGTAAGTCACTCCCCATCATCTTTAAAAAAGTCACACAACTGTTCAAAGCAGGACAACAGAGAGGTGACAAATCTATTGGTCAATGGGAGGCTCACAATATAATGTGGCAGGAAACTGAGCAAATGGCAGAGTGAATATCAGATAACATCTGAAACCAATTAGAAGTCATCCATAAAACTGTATCGCATTTATCAGGGCACAGGGCTTAGAGGGGGTTTGTGTGCACTAGTGTGACTCATACATGGTTTGCATCTGCCAGCTGCATGTCACTGCTCCTGTAATGCGACAGGGGTTGGAGACGCGACCCACCAGCTCAATGCCCTGGGGAAAAGGGTTGTCCTCCCAGTCTTTTTCAGGAAAGCGCTGGAGAATCCGGCCCTGACCCTCGCTGCCCTCTGTGAAAAGAGGAGCAAGGCCAGATCAGGATAAAGGTAAATTCAAGGAAATTAAAGGTTTTATTGACAAAAGAAGGCTTCAAATAGATTTGAGTCACATCACTTATTTTGCATGTGAGCAGAGGTTATCCACAGCTAGAGAGAGAAGTCAGAACCTCAGCTTTAAATATGATAGTGACTTTACAAAAAAGACATTTAGGCTTAATTTCTTAAAATGGATACAGTGTTTTAAAAAAAACAAACAAATTTCAGAAAGTTGCTTTGGCATTAATTACATTTTATAGTTTGTGATAGAAGGTGGTGAAATTACTGGAACTATGTTCCAGTAAGTTCCCTAAACTACAGTAAAACTGATACCCCATCCATCCATCCATCGCCATTTATCTGGGCAGAGATGCCTAGAACTCCCTCTCCCCAGTCACCTCCTCCAGCTTCTCCCAGGGAATACCGAGGAGCTCCCAGGCCAGCTGAGAGATATCTCTCCAGGGTCTGCCCCAGGCTATCCACCCGGTTGTACAAGCCCAGAGCACCAACATTGTCATTAAACCCATGACAAAAACAAACATTTAATTCCACTTTGTTAATGAGGGAATTCCATGGACTCTTCATGGCATTAAGAGGAATAAGATGTATCCATTACTGCAAATACCTCCTGAGCCAAGCTACCACTCAGGTTGCAAATGTTACAGATCCCAACACAGCTAAACATGGCTCTATACTGAACAAGAGTACCATGAGCCAATGGTAGATACAGTAATAGCAGGTACAGTACAGGTTTGGCATTTTCATGGGAACAGATCACTAGCCAATCACATAACAGGTAACAGTAGTAATGAAATAAAACTTCAGTTTGATCAATTAACTTGTTATTCTTCCTTCTTTCGTGTTTCTTTGAGTTTTTAGGGGGCCCGTTTACCTCTTTCTTAAAAAGCTAATGCTCATTTGTTTGATCAAACCATCCCCTCCATTTTCCATACCCCTGACATTCATCCTAACTTTCACACTCCCAGCATAATCGAGTTGCATTCATTTCTCATTCTGGGTGGAAGCTTGAGGACTGGGCATTGTCCAAAAGATACATGCAACCATGCATACAGATATAGGGTACAGCTTCCTGTATCAGGTATATTATGTAAAGCTGCTAATAACAATGATTTTTCTATTGATTTATTAACTATTTTACCGATTGGTCGGTTAATCTAAATCATTAATCTTCCTCCATTCAAGTTAATTTTATTTTGACAACAAACTGTATGTCGATACAGGGCTTTAGTTAAAAGATTCCGGCTTTTCTGAAGTACACCAACGTTACTTCAACAATTCGATAAGCAGAATAGTAGTAAGCTTAAAATATTAATGAGATGTGTATTGTGACACTATAAAGTTAGTAATCTGTATAAATTCGGCATATCCTCATAAATAGAGGAGCACACCATGTGCGACTGTTTTGTTATACCATGAAAGCGATAAGCACTGAAGTCACAATGAAAAAATGGACAGATCAGCAGTGATAACTTTATTTTTTTTTTTTTTAAGTATATATTGTGGTTAGACAAGATAAAAAGATATTGATGGTGTGGCGATGCTTTTTGCAGTTTAAGGTCCGACAGGTTTTCTTCTAAAATGAAAATTATATTTACATCGTGAATCATTATTTTCTTATTTAGTGAGTTTCATTTCTGTTTTTGTTTATGATAACACTGGTCTAAACAACCCCAACATGCACGAACACACACCTCTACCATTAATCAACAGAGAATAAGCACAGGATTTTCTCATAAACTTATTCAATGGAAAATCTAAGGTAGAAGGCAGACAAGTTTATGGCTTTAATGATGAGTGCATTTAGCAGCTCTTAATACTGTCCGCTGCAGTACAAGCAGGCAGTGGGGCAGGTTGAACTGATGCCAGCCTTGTATACAGTTCTCCGTAGTTGCATGTATTATAATGCAATTGTGCTGTATTGTAATGTCAAGTGTAGTCACTGTAGTGTTAAATGTTAATCGTAGTACATAGTGTGCCTGTGTGTGTGTGCTCACTGTGCATGTTACAGTACTAATGCTAATTTAATAATCATGAATGAACAACACTTACGGAGGTTTTGCCATTTCTGGCAGTCAAGAGTAGTGCCTGTGTTTTCTTATCAGGTGCTCATGCATAGTGCCAGTGCTGCTGTGGTATGCCACTAAATCCTTTCACAGTGTACAAACTACCTTTTTGTTTTGTGATAACTTGAACTACTCCCATAATTACTTGGTGATATTGAAGGAAGACATTTGTTATAATTAATTACAAATCAAAAAGATAATTTCATTAAAATACATTGGAAACCACTTATAGTGATGGCAATAGTGATTAACCGCTTACATAGATCAAAAGTCTTAGGACAGAATCAATCTTGTACAAATACAGTTTAAATAATTTGCTTATAGAAATCAAGTAGTCTGCTTACAGTATTCATTTTTTTTAATACATGACAACATATGGAGAAAAGTAAAATGTTTTTTTTTTTTTTTTTTTTTACTTTACTTTGATAGCCCTACTTTGCCTTGTGTTAACCTGTCTGCATCTGGCTAGCTAGGCTACCTGAGGCTAATGCTGTGTGCACAGAAAACATGACAGAAAAAGTCAGTCATTTTCTCTCAATGACCAATATAGACTCATTAAAACATATGATAAACTGCCAAACTGCAGCAGCAAAACTACAATAAGCTGTATTTTATATACAATGCTATACTGTATTATAGCGTATTTCAATTATACACGGTTCAGTCATTTAATTTGTACAATATTGTAATTTGAAAAGCGTTTGAAACAGCTGTACTGTATTTTCAGAGTCAATAAAATTCAGTAAATACTGACGCAGTCCATGTTATTACCTTATATGCATGTAATAAATATACAAAATGTCAATTAGATGGTAATCTGCCCGACACAAAGAAAAATATTAGTTACAATGATCATCCACTTATACTGATCAATTTCACCCAGACAGACATGATCACAAGAAGCCGTTTCCACTGTAATGTAAAAAACGATGCGTCGATTTAAAATATTGACGTTAGTGTATTTTAAGCTTAGACTTCATCAGCTACATCGTCTGATTGTGGCAGTCCAAATATTAAGGCACATTCAGTATGGCCCCTCTGCAATAGGCCTATCATGGGGCATTCCATAAGGCCCTCCTGTAGCAGATGTACCGTAGCACATTCCATACAGCCCTCCTGTAATGGGTGTACCGTATCATGGGCTGTCCCGTATGGCTCTCCTGTAATAGGTGTATCATGGGCTGTCCCGTATGGCCCTCCTGTAATAGGTGTATCGTGGGCTGTTCCGTATGGCCCTCCTGTAATAGGTGTATCGTGGGCTGTTCCGTATGGCCCTCCTGTNCCGTATGGCCCTCCTGTAATAGGTGTATCGTGGGCTGTTCCGTATGGCCCTTCTGTAATAGGTGTATCATGTGGTGTCCCGTATGGCCCTCCTGTAATAGGTGTATCATGTGGTGTCCCGTATGGCCCTCCTGTAATAGGTGTATCATGTGGTGTCCCGTATGGCCCTCCTGTAATAGGTGTATCGTGGGCTGTTCCGTATGGCCCTNGTGTCCCGTATGGCCCTCCTGTAATAGGTGTATCATGTGGTGTCCCGTATGGCCCTCCTGTAATAGGTGTATCGTGGGCTGTTCCGTATGGCCCTCCTGTAATAGGTGTATCGTGGGGTGTCCCGTATGGCCCTCCTGTAATAGGTGTATCGTGTGGTGTCCCGTATGGCCCTCCTGTAATAGGTGTATCATGTGGTGTTCCGTATGGCCCTCCTGTAATAGGTGTATCATGTGGTGTTCCGTATGGCCCTCCTGTAATAGGTGTATCATGAGGTGTTCCGTATGGCCCCTCCTGTAATAGGCATGCCATGGCACATTCCATAGTCTATGTTAGGTGAACCATACAGCATTCCGACAATCCTCTTGTATTAGGCATACCTTGGCACTTTGTGAACAGTCTTCCTACATTAGTTGTAGTGAAGCGAAATCTTTATTCCAGTATTGTGATGTCTAGTCACAACAGCTGGACTACAGGACGTGACAAGCATGCCAGAAAACAACTATACAATTCTTAAAGCGTGACAAGTCTTTAATTCAAGGTTCAAAAGTTCCAGTTAGCACTATGCGACTATGGCAAAATGCACACAGTTCCCTGGGATGCAAAAGGACAGAAAGCTGACAAATGAAAACAAAAGTGATGAATAACAGCTTCAGGGAGTAATGCCATGAGGTCAGATCGTTGCTCAAACACACACTTTTACAGTACCAGGGCAGTATTGGAAGAATGTGGGAACGCATAAATCACAACAAAAAAACCTTGAGAACACCCCCAAAGTGACCATGCCTGTTAATGCTGTAATGTTTTAACAAAAAGAATCTGAAGGACTTGCTTACAAGACAGACAGTGGCTACTTTGAATGGCTAGACTGTAAAAAGGAAAAAACAAACCACACACCCTAATATGACAATGTAGTGAGAGGACAAGCATTGAATGCTAACTGAGTTACAGCCCCATTCTCATGTTTTGTTTTGTTGGGGGAGACTTTGTTCATCACTTTAGCTACCTTCATCACTGTGGCAAAGCGCAAAACCATGCAGAAGCACTGACAAGCAGCAAAAACGTTACACTGGAGGAAGCGTGTGTGCAAGGTAGCAGTATCATATTGTCATACAAAAGTTTTACATGGCACAGTTCCATCATTCTGCAAATTTCAGCATTTGATGAAACTGCTGTAGATCTCTACCGCACATATAAAAAAAAAGATACGAACAAAACCACATTTATGTAATGGATGTGCCAAATTTGGAGAGAGACAGTCAGTTGCACTCATTTCATGTGTCTCCTGTATGGAATAACTACACAGATAGAAGATGGAGAGAACTGACACTCACTGCCCGCCTCTAGTTAATCAGTAGGGTGGCAGAAGTTTTCAACCAAATGAAAAGGAAGAACCTGCAGACC